AATGAAAAGAGGGATTGAAGAACTTGCTGAGGGAATGATAGAGTAAGAAAGTGAAATAGCTTCCTGGGATCCAAATGGCTCAAAATGTGAAGACCCTAAACCCATCCTAATCAAGAAATGAGTCCAAGTGTGAAGCTGCAGAAGACTCTAGAACAGGAGATGCGGTGTCAGTCACTGCCCTCACAGACTATCTGTGAGTGAACCTTGTCATCTTCACAACGACCCTTCCAAGCAGGTGGCAAAGTTATCTCTCTTTATAAGTGAAGAAACTGAGGCACAGGGAAAGTAACTTGCCCAAGGTCACACAATAAATGGTAGAATGAGGAGTCAAACTGAGTAATCTCACTACAGAGCTTGTGGGTATAGTATGTTGCCTCTTAATAAGTCACATTTCTCTCCGCCCAATTCATCAGTGAGATCGCAGAGAAAAATGGGTTGAGGGGAGCTTACAGGTAGTTTTGAAAAAGGACGGGAGTTCTGAAATGGAAACCCGGAGTGGGAAGCATTCTGATTCCTGCTTCAGAATGAGAGATTTTTGAGTTGATCACCTAGTTTCAGATCTTTCATTCATGTATTCACTCATTCATTCATTCATAAATAACTGCTCTCAAGATTTCTTCTTCTCCGACACAGGGAAGAGGTTGGGGCCAGGCATTAGAAAACAACTACAATGTTTAATGAAAACTCACTAAATCCTCACTCCTATCTGTGAATTGGGCACTATTTTACTATTTTGTTGATAAGGAAACTGAAGCTCTGAACAATTAACTGCCAAATGTCATGAAAGTTATATGTGGTGGAGCCAGGAACTGAGGTAAGGCCTCCCTACCTTAGTGTCCATGCACTTCCTGATATATCTGGGGGCGGGGAGGTGAGAGGAGAGAAGTGGGAAGGGGCATGGCATTCAGACTCACTGCATGCCACAGATCTTTAATCACTTTGGGTTTAGGTGATCCGCTGTGAACTACTAGAGCTTACAAAAAACAATTCTGTTGTCTTTAGTTTAATTCTTTATTTAAACATCAAATAAGTTGAGAAAATTGTTTACAGGTGCTCAAGCATCCCGCTGGATTCTTTATTTTTATTTCAAAGTGCAAAAGAGGTTTACAAGTGTGTTTCATTAAACAAAGCAAAGCTGCAACAAACCCGAATCACATCAATAATTGTATGCATCAGCAAGAGAGCATATTTATCCATCACACACAATTTGGCATTTGCGCCTTTTCCCATAAGACAAGAGCTCTACACTGAAGAATTTGTAGTGCACAAAAAGCATTGTTTATAAGCTGTGAGATAACATAAACTGGCATCATGTCACTTATGAATTCAAGTCTCTTATAACCAATGACCTCTCTGTGAACACAAAGGGGTCCATGTCTCAGGCACCTGCTCATGGGACAATATGTTGTTTCTAGGGTGCACAGCTCGAAACACACACATTGACGATGGGTTTGGAACATGGCAGCATTTACATATTTTAAAAGTTCAGGCACAATTGGATGCAAGAAAAAGAATATAAATTTTTTTGAATCTCAAAAGACAGTGCAAAATTGAAGTGCCGTAATAGAGGCAGCAATTACTTAGAAAACAATTTTAAGTGACATAAACGAGGCCACACTTTAATTCAAATGGAAAAGAAATGCAGTTAGAGACAGAGCATAATCACACACTGAAAAGATGGATATTTGGGACCACAGTTCATTTGCTCCAGCTGAGAGTAAGTTTTCAGGGGAGTTAACCTAGGAAGGGTGCAAAGTCATCAGGGCCTACCCAGACCCGCACCAGAGAATCACGGTTGCCTATGAGCTACTGTATGACTCTATTTGCTTTTCAAACAACTAGTTTCCCCAAGCAGATCTGCCTGTGAATATTAGACATAACTATGGTCCTAGTGATCATTCCCAGTATCCACAGTCCATCTCATAGTTGAAAAGTATGAACAGGAAGGGATTTGTAATCCATGTCATGTAGGGTTAGAGGTACTCTAAGCCAATGGCCTGAATCAATGGCCATTTTGATGTATAAGGTTTCTGTGTGAGAATACCTTAATGTGATCCAAAAGTAAGTTATCAGTAAATTCCTTATTTGTTCAGCCCCAAAAGGCATGGGATATGGCATGGTGAAACATATTTGCAAGGTTGCTAGGGAAATCTTATCAAAGACTGCATTTCCTTAGGAGTTGGATTTTGCAACTTGCCTCAATAGGGTTTTCTCTTTGGATGACTTAGCCCCTCCTAATTGCTGCATGATAGCATTACAGAATCATGCCAGCCAGCTAGGCAATGACTAGAAGAAACACAAACCACTAGCTATTTCTTGCACTTTACTGCCGATGCTCTTTCTTCCCTAGAACTGAAACTGCCATTTTTAAAATGGCTGTCAATAGAACTAGTTATTTGTGGTTTACAGGACAGAAGTGGGTACTGAACCCTGGTGCACAGCCCAGGTGCCAGAATTAATTTTTCTCAAAAAAAAAAACTTTCAATACTCTTATCATTATATTTCCCATTCTCCGAATTCCTGAGCCCACTTCTCCACCCTACCCTGGGGTAAATCATGCCTTGCAACTTTTAAACTGCCTCAGAGTGGGGGCAAAGCACAGGCAACAGCTTCCCAGCATGGTTCCTACCTTCAATAGCAACATTAGCTGGAAAATATCAGCAGCCCATTAGTGGCACTTCGAGTAAGAATGAAAAGATTTCCAAAATTGTTTGAGACCTCTCGGCTAACATTTCAGCCATCTGATGTTCTCTGCCCATTTCAATTTTCAAATGTAGTAGTTTCTTAACATGAATACAAACACATTAGATGAATAATGTAAAACCCTCCAATGGATTATTGTTTGGATTTAGCTGGTATTACATCATCTATAGTCCTAGAGTTTTGTTTTTTTTTTTTTGGTTTTGTTATTTTTTTTAAAAGAAAATCTAAGTATAAACATTAAAAAGAACCCACTCACCCATTAGCTACTGTCCAAAAATATTACTACTGATATTTTGGTAAAAGCAAAATTAGCTGCCCTGAATAATTTTCCTTTTCAGGCATAATCTTTGCTACATAAGATTGTCTGTCATTCAATATCCAACAATAGGCATCTGGATTAGTGCTATTTTGTCTACTGTGGATATAAAAGTTGATATGAAATGTGATCTTCATTTAAATGAATAATCACCAGGCTTTAGGCATCAATGACCGCATACATGACAAGGTAGTTTGAAAAGTATAAAAAAACTAAATATTTTTCCTTGGTTTTTGCATGTTAACCCAGTCAAATTAAATTCAGAACAGAATTACTACATTCAATTGTCTGATAAACAGCAATGCAATTTCAAAAAAATATATATTATACTATATAAGGTGCTTCTTAAACAAACAACAAAGGAATTATGTTCTTAAACATATTCTTAACACAGATACATAAAATTGCCCCCAAATTTAAGTGCACATATAGAAAAACTATTTTCCCCTCCCAGATTCCCAGTCCTTTGGTGATCACTTCTAACTGGACAATCAAAAATTAATGAAATCTGCTTTTCCAAACAGGGCATACATACCAAGAGAAACCCTAGCAGCTTGCATGGGTTATTAACTAACACATCACCTCTCGATGGGGTTTGAATTATAGACAGTGAGGTTACCCAGAGGAAACCAAACTTCCTTCTTAGTTAAGAAAGGGGTAAAAACCCATGATAGCGCTAGTGAAGCAAAGGCCCAGAGAAGGCTGCCCAGTGGCTGGGGTGAGCCTTGCTTTCTTAGTCTTTAGGTCAAAGGATTCCTGTGACCTAATTCTGGTCTCATTCTCTTGGCTTATAAAGTTTAATGAAATGAGTGCTAGGGGCAAATTTTCTTCCCAAAACCAAACCCTGATTTTTGGATGAGCTCTAAACAATCAAGGGCAAGTGTAGTCTGACCAGGCCCCCCGGCAGCCTGAGTATTGAGTGCTCTAATCTCTGAGCCCGCCTCTTCTCCCTGCCCCAGGGTGCTGGACCAACAGTTGGAGGGCAGCTGTCTATGGCAACTGTGATGGCTGCATCCTCCAAGCAGGGCCATGCTGGGGAATGAAGAAGAGGTGGACTGCCCCATGGATCCCAGGACAGTCCTACAGTGCAATGCGGGAGAGAGAGTAGCTGCACCCTGACAAGGTTCACTGTGCCTCAGAGCTTAATCCAGTTTCTCCCCACGGTCCTACTTCTCCAGTAGTCACCATAATCGTGCACATTCACTGTTTAGCCCCATGCCTCAGGGCTAAAAACATCACATCACGGGGTACCTGCTCATTTAAATGGCCCTTGGTCATCATCTGGGCGCCACATGTGAATAGTTCACCTTTTGTGTAAGTCACACACTTTCCAGGGAGATCCAAGTAGAGCGCCCTCTGCTGACCCATGTGAGCCCCCACCAGAACACGACCTGAAGCCAATTTTACTGCAAGTTGGAGCAGCGGGAAGGAGTGGGGGGAGGGCTTTCTTTGATAACACAAAAATAAGAACAAAAATCAAGAACTCATCCCTCATATAGGGAGATTGGTATATATGGAGGTGACTTAACTGAGCTGAACTTGCTGTTTTCCAAAGGTCCATGGGAAGCAAAAATTGACTGGAACCCATGACCTGTACATAGTGCTTTGGAAAACCAGCAGTAGAGCTTCCAGCAAGCCTTAAGGTGCAGTGTACTAAGTCTAAATAGTCTTGGCAATCAGGGGATCCTCCTTCCCTGTGTGCATCTTGTATTCCTATAGGGGAAAGTGAATTGACAATCACCAAATATTCTGCTATAGCCATGCAAGAGCTTCAAGGTGTCACTTGAATAAAATGATGCATTATCATAGGAATACAAGAGGATGCTATCATGAACCCTGACCTAACTTTCTCCAAGTTAGCAATTAAAGGAGCCGCTTCAAATTCTTTGCTGTGGCTTATTCTTGGAGCCACTAAAAAGTGCTTATCAGAGGTGAAATGTCAACTCTCCAGGCCTGGGTCTCTATAAGTAGCTTCAATGCACAGAGTCGTCTGAGCCCCAGCTCCCAGACTGAGTTCAGTCCTGAAGAGCTACAGGAATCCTCGTGCTTAGTAACATAGCAAAGGGGGAAGGAGAGCTGTCACAAAGGTTTAGCCCTGGAATCCCTTTGGCTGTTCCCAACAGAAGACCTGATGCTAAGAACTGAGCAGGCAAATGAATGGCCATCCCTATCAGAAAGCCGCTGGTGGTGGATGCATGCAGGAGTGTATGCAAGAGACAGAAGTTGGCTAAAGTGATGTATGATGAAGATAAAATGTTGCAGGGATTCTCAGAGCCTTGGGGGAGCTGGAGAGCTCTCAGATTGTGGGGGGGAAACCCTCCACCTCCCCCGTGATGTAATACTTTTGCAAGGAATGCGATGAAGTGGGTCCCATGGTGGCTAGCTGGCTCTGGTCCATCTCCTCCATGGGTGCCCCCCCGTGGTCAGTGGGGGCATGCAGGCGGTGGGCATCCAGCATCTCCAGCAGCAGGTCATAGAGGGGCACCACGTTCTTGCACTTCATGCTGTACAAATGCTCCATGCCTTTGTTGCTGTGAGGGGGAAGACAGAGAGGACCGTGTTAGAGCCAAGCCAAGTCCCAAGATGGCTGAAATTCCTAGGAAGGGGAAGGAAGACAGGCTCTTAAGGTGCCTGGCAGCCAACCTTTCTTCCTGTTTAAGGACTTATCTCTGTGTGGATTTTGTCTCCCAGCTCCTACAGGGAAAGTCCCACCCTCACAAACACATTCTCCCTTCAGTCACTTGCAAGGTATTTGCTATGCAGGTGACTTCCTTCCATGGCCTCAAGTGAGACAGTCTTCCCCCTCCATCACTGATGCATCTAAAAAGAGAGCAGCATGAGATGTACAGCCAAGCAGGAGGGAGTGTTTTATTTTGTACTGATTATCATTACTTTTTAAAGAGACAGGGTCTTGCTGTGACACCCAGGCTGGAGTGCAGTGGCGTGATCATACTCCTGGGCGATTTCCACCAATCTTCCCACCCCAGCCTCCCAAGTAGTTGGAACCACAAATGCATGTCACCACACCTAGCTATTTTTTAATATTTATTGTTTGTAGAGTTAACATTTCTTTATGTTGCCCAGGCTAGTCTTGAACTCCTGGGTTCAAGTAATCCTCTTCTCTCCTCAGCCTCGGAAAAGGGCTGGGATTATGAGCGTGAGTCACCATGCCCAGCCAGGGGTGAGTATTCTGAATGTGTCTCCTATTTATTTATTGTCTTTATTCTCTTCACCCCAAAACACATACATGCATACACACACACACACACACACACACACACACACACACACACACGGTAAGTTCCAGGCAGGACTTTGTTCATTCTGCCATCTACTGTAGGCCTAGAGCAGTGCCCAGAACTTGGTAAATGTTCAGAAAACAGGGTAAGTGGGCATAGGGTGATGTCAGCAAAATGACATTTCTCTTTTCTATGCTGTCCTCCTCTACCAGCCACAACTCTGCTGTCACCACGACACCACCAGAGGTGGAAGGGGGTGGAAGGAAGGACAACTATTATCTCACTTGAAATTTATTTTAAAAGAAATATGTCTCACGGATAGAAATATGTATCAAAAGTAGACCAAGAGAATGGCATAGAAAATATTTACCATGAAGATACAGCATCAAAGCTATTCCATCTTACAACGTGGCCCAAATTTCGGATTTCACAGTTACTTTACTTTTGTTTTTAATTTAGAATTCTGTTAAAGTTAAATGCCCCCTGGATCCGCCACTGTCTTTCTCATGTAATCTAATGAGTCACATTTCCAGTCAGATGAAATCTGTTGTTAAATTCTCTGAGTAGCAACATATGGCTGGGGCCAAGATGACAAGTAGAATTCCGTGATTTGGATTGGCTGTAGTGAGGAACCAAAATATTAGAATGTGTGTGTGAGAGAGAGAGAGAGAGAGAGAGGAGAGAACTCAAATCTTTCAGTAGAACAGCCACCTCTCCAGCATTCACACAATTCCAACAGAAACTCTACAGAACTGTCTTCCTGCTGCCGCCCACTGCCATAAGTTGTTAGCAAAATCAGCCAAGGCTGTATATTTAGTGCAAATGTATGTGGTATTAATGGATTAGGTTTGCTCATGCTGACAAGCAGTTAGTGGATTTGAAAATTCAGTAATTCCTATCAACAAATAAAACCATTCCACTGCAATACGTAGTGGCTACAGCATCACTGAAATGCCTAGCTTAGAGTAAAAGCTAGTGTGTTTTCTTCAAGGGAAAGGTTATTCTCTCAGCCAGGAGATTTGGAGAATGTGCAGTTCTGATCCATTCTCTGCTTCTCTCTCTCTCTGACAGACATCAAAAGAAGATGGTAGGAAAAGACTGGAAATGTGTACTCTGAATGCAGTCACCTACTCCACCTGGCAAATGTGAGCCCTTCGTGTATAACACAAGGACTCATGGGGGAATCCTGAGAACAGAGATTGCAATAACTTTCTATCACACTTTGCCAAGTGGAAGCCCTCACTTGTGAATTTCAAATTCACAGGGCAGGTAAAAGCTTTCTGTGAGTCACTTCATTCATTCATTTATACAGTAAAAATTTTGCAAGCACATACAATATATAAGTCTTCATATATGGCACTGTGGAATATACAAAGAAAAAAGATACATCTATTTTCTCAAAGAATGAACAATTTTCTAAGTCTGTCTCCCAAAAGAATGGCACCTGGGACTTTGGTGGGACAAACTTCTTGCTGTTTAAATCACAGTCTCAAGATTTGAAGACCGCTTAAAAATAATCTAATCCAACTTTCTTCAGACATCTTGGTCCATCCCTCACAGACACTAAGAGAAGGGATCTCTTTTTCATGCCTAGGGTGTGCAAAACCAAAGTCATGTACAAAGGCTTCAGCACCCATGGGTACCCGTCCTTTTAGTGTCATTACTTTACATCACTGTTGTGGCTTTTCTGGAGTCTGAAATAAAGAATCCACCAAGCTCTTCATGTCTCTCCTCAAGGCTGAGCTCTACTTATGAGAATGGTACCCACTAAGCTTTTGGCCCACCAAACTGCAGGACAAAGGAATGGAAATTAGGACACTTTCACCTTTTGCCACAGAAAAACTATTTTCTCTGCTGATGCCCTTCATTGGCTCCTATAAAAAATATTTATTATTTTCTATATACCCAGCACTATGCTAGCTGGTATTGGGTACACAGAGTAAGCAAGATGGACTATGATGACCACCTCAGAGTTTTCAGTCTAATGGAACAGAAAATAAAATGGGCAGTAATGATAGGGAACAACAGGGTGTAAGTCTCAACTGTGTCTTAGGGGTCAGAAGATGCTTCCTGAAAGGAGTGCTATCTTAACTATGATAGGTTATCTTACTGCTCAGAAATATTCACTCCTCCTGCACTGTGTCCATGACCTTGACTTTGGGCTTTCCCATGTAACTTGCTTGGCCAATGGAATGTCAGCAGATATGACTTAACCAAAGGATTAAAATGCACTTGTCTGGGAAACCCCTCAGGTCCCCTCACACTCTGGGAGCTTTTATGCCCTCTCAACAAATCCTGCTTTTTCACCTCCAAAAAAAAAGAAAATGCACTTGCCCAAACGGGCTTTCTTTCTTGTGCCTCCACCATCGCTATAAGAACATGTCCTAGCCAACCAGTGGGTATGAGACAGGTGTAACAGAGTCACTTGGCCAACCTGTAGGGCTGCAGCTTGTCTCCCTCCTGGGCCCAGCCTCTATCAGCTGCCTCCCAGATGTGAGTGAGCCCAGCTGAGATCAGTAGGACTGTCCAGTCAATGTACACCCTGATATAGAGCCTCCCTAGGTGACTCCAAAGAGTCTATTATGCCTAGAGCTCAGCCATGAGGAAGTTAAGTAGGGCCTGAGTCGTAAGGAGTAATATAAGCAAAACAAAAAGATTTAGACTTTATCTAAAAGCAAGGCTGGGTGCAGTGGTGCACAACTATAATCTCAGCACTTTGAGAGGCCAAGGTGGGAGGATTGTTTGAGCCCAGGAATTCAAGACCAACCTAGGCAACAAAGTGAGATCCTGTCTCTACAAACATTTTTTTAAAACTTAGCCGGGCGTGGTGGCATGCACTGATAGCCCCAGCTACTTGGGAGGCTAAAGTAGGAGAATCACCTGAGCTGCAGTAAACCATGACTGTGCCAGTCTCAGTGACAGAGTGAGAGCTCCTTCAACTCAAAAAAAAAAGAACTAAAAGCAAAGGGATGCCATTTAAGGGTTTTAAGCAGGGATGACATAATCAGATTTGGTTTTAGAATGATTGTTCAGGTTATATCACGAAGAATGAATTAGACAGGAGCTAGATTAAAGGCAAGGATGCATGTTGAGTGGCTGGTGTGGCAATCCAACAGAAAACAATGGTGGCTTGGCCTAGGGAAATGGCAATGGAGGTGACATAAAGGGATGTGAGAGATATGGAAGCGTCAGCGTTGACTCCATGAGGCAACTGGCCCGAGTCTCTCAGCTAGAATTTCCAAATGTAAATAGAGATGGTATGATGCAGGGAGGGTAGTGGGTGTGCCCAGTGCCTTCAGAGGATGCCTGTGCTGACAGTTCCCTCCCTCACCTGCACACTGCACACTCCCTTCCACCCCTCTCCTCCACCCTTGCCCCAAAGCACATGCTTCAAACCAAACATAAGTATCACTTCCTCTATGAAGCCTTCTCTGACACTTGCCCCGTGCCTCAAGTGGATTTATAGTGTCTCTCGTCTGTCCTTCCATAGCATTTATGCGTGTTCCATTTTAGGAACTGTCAGGTGCACTATCCCAGGCCAGTTGTCACCCAGGTTTGGAGGCGTGCTTTCCTCATGTCTGTGCTGGGAAGGCCAGAAGCCCGCGGATGCCTCACCTCATGTGCCTGATGTGTGAGAGGATGAGGAGGAGCTGGGCCAGCCGCCGGTGCTGCTGCTGCAGGGTCAGGCCTGCCTTGGCCATCAGGTGGATCAAGGTGTCTGTGATCTTGTCCAGCACTCGATGGATATGGTCCTTCTCATCCAGAGACTTCAGGGTGCTGGACAGAAATGTGTACACTCCTGAATGTGCAGAGAAAGAGTGAGAGAGAGAAACTCAAAGAGGATGAGGTCTAGGAGACCAGGAGTGTTTGTGGGACTTAACAACAAGCTGGTGTCCGGCCCTAGCAGTGCAGACTCTCTGGACCCATTGGAAACTAAGCAACTATGTAAAATTCCTAATGATATGCAGGTCTGAAAGCACCAAGAAACCGAAGTGGCATCCTGCGTGTAAGTCAATATTCCCAGAAAGGGAATGTTAGCCTTGGGGCCATCATGGTAACGCTGGCCACCCCTTCTCAGACAGGTCTGACATCAAAATGAACTGTCCATTTAACACTGAAGCCAACCTTAGGAGGGACCATTCCTGTTCCTTTTTTCTTGTAGAAACTGAAGGGCAGAGAGATCTGTGAGCCTGTTAGAGTAACTTGGATAGCAGGTAGCAGGATTTAGACTGAACCCAATTGTTGACCCCACATCTGCTAATGGTAATGAAGACTCTCTGGAGACATGAAGCTCTCAGTGAGATTCACAGAAAAAGGAATAAGTGATTGGCTATGTAATGGGAAGTTGATTTTTCCAGGCAGGATTTAATTTTTTTTCTGTTTCAGGTCAGGTTTGGAGTCTAAACACTTTTCAGCTCAGCAGAAGGGTTTATGGCATGTGTGGGTATAGAGGGCCTTGGGAACAGCTGTTTTTCACTGTCAGGCAGGTGTTTCCTTTCTTGTCTTTTTTTCTAGAATAGATTCTGCTCTTTGGGCCACAGGCAGATGTAGGAACGAAGGTGAGACCGTCTATTCTTCTGGACAGCATAGGTCTTGAGCTAGATAATCAAAGGCTTTGCTAGGATTGTATATGAGCTTGGGAGACAGAAATTCTTTCCTCTAGGGTTGCCAAACTGAAAGGATGAGAATATGGGGCCAGAGGTGATAATACTTGGGGGTGGGGAGAGAAAGAGAGAGGGAGAGGGGGAGAAAGGGGGAGAAAGAGAGACAGAGAGAGGGAGGGAGGGAAAGAAGGAGGGAAGGAGGGAGGAAGAGAGACCGACTAGCCCAGTTCTACTCATGAGGTTCTTACATTTTTTCACTGGGCTTTCATAGTAATCTTTCCTAACACAAGAATCAACAAAGTTCCTCTTTGCTTCAGATTATGTGAGTCAGCCGGGCTCGGTGGCTCAGACTGTAATCCCGCGCCTTTGGGAGGCTGAGGTGAGTGGATT